AACCCAATCGATAAAGAAGATTTCTTCTGCCAGTAGTGGAAATTAGAGTTTAGTTTTCATTGCAGCCGCTGAGATAAGCGACAAATAGCATTCTGCAGACGTATATGGCTGTTTCCAATCTATAACCTCTGTGATCTGTGACTATCACGTACTCCCCCTTTGCGGTGTTGCCATGATGAATGTTTCATTATGTTTTCTGGTAATTACCACCAAACATTCTTATGAATTTTTAAGTATAAAATTTCGACGCTGTTATTTTAATGACATTTGCTTGTCGCTTCTTACAAACTAAGCAAATATAACACTAAATATATTAATGGCTACCGTTTTCCTGCTATTTTCTTGTTGACACCACTCATATACAGGGTTGCTCATTAGTGCGTCAAAGTGCGATATCTCAGTAAATATGAAGTTTACAAGAAAATTCGTCCAACGAAAGTTTTTCACGTTTAAAAGGTCCACATTCTAAAATTACTTTCCAATATACAACCCTGTATATCAAACTGAATACCGAGCCGGCAAAGCATCCTCGTAAGTACCTACTTTTGTATAGACTGTGAACCAATGTTGCTCCCATAGAAAAACGTAAACAAATGGCAGAACATTCATTACTCACATTGATTCAAAACCGTTGAATAAAAGTAATCCTGAAAAAAACCTATAAAAAATAAGATTGTTGAACAAAACCTGGATCTCTTGTGCAGCCTTTATCACCAAGCCGTGCAGGTATGAGAACTTACTTAATGGACAATACACAGCCTTCAAGCGACAAGATGTTCGATATTGTTACATTCGAATTCGGGCAAAATATAATTGAATTCCACAAGAAGTGAAGCGATGTAGAAAAGTGATCATGCATTATCACAGCCAAATTTCAGGATTTCTCAAGAAATAAATAAAAGGGCCGAGCTGAAGGATATTTCACATAGTTGCAGATAAATTACTCCTGCACACAAAAATCGTCAAATATCAGCATTACTCTGATCTTAATTAAAAGTTGTACCTACAAGCATAAAAGAATCATTCAGCAATAGAAGTGGAAAGTTTCAGACGTCCATCTCTCCTGATTCACTACCAGTGATTTGTTAAGTAAACACGTGCAAAATTCAATAGTTTGCACCTTTAAACACCATGGTTTGCTCTAAAGAATTCGGAGGTACTGAAACGACACGATCACCGAGCCGTTGCTCACCATCGCAATTATGATTTTACCAACATCGTAATTACCTGGGGATGTAATGTAATACCGATAAAGTTGAATACTTCCTCCGCAATTTCGTATGGATTTAAGCAAATATCTTCATAGCGAAGCGCCCTACAAGTACGAAACACATGACAAAACAAGCATTTCACAAAGCAAACATCCTTACCGAAACCTAGAAGGATATAATTCTTTCAGCCTAATAGCTGCACTATAATCGGACACCATATCAGAGCAGAGATAATTAGGTTGATCACAGTCAGGTTCGCCGGGGCACCAATCCCGATGTTTTCGGGACTGTAAAGTGCCTCTTGGATCTCGTATTAATAGAATTACTTTAACATTGAGTCTGAAAACGGTTTAATTTAAATTAATTAAACGATACCAGTTTAGTCAATCTAAAACTTACGATTTCACCTCCAACAGCGCCTCGGCTAGTTTCAGTCTCAATCGAACCGTTTTCACCGATTGAAATGGAAACAGTCGACAAAACTGATTCAAAAACTCTCGGTCCCAGCAAATGTCATGATCTGCTTCACAATGAGCCCACAAACGTTTATTGTGTCTAAGCAAGTTATTATGTGTAGTAGCATATTCTATATATCTGAAACCAAAATTTGAACATTTCGTCGGTATCATCCGAACAAGAAATCATGTAAGATTCGAGGTTCGCTAATCTAAGGCGCCGGGCTGCGCCAAGCCGGTCTGGCGCCGTCGTGCGAGTTTGGACAGACTTTAGGTACTATGTTCTATATTTTTTCTTAACATTACGACAAAAACTATATATTGATTACATGGTTAGTAGAAATGAAACTTGGAATTAGTAGTCAGTACATAAACAAATGATCTATCCGCAGTAGCTACAGAAATCGGTATGGTTAATAGTATACTTATTAGAATGGTAATATTTAGGAACGATTGAGTTAAATTATTTTCTATAATATAATTAAGCGTTTGCTCTAAAGATAAACCACTTTGATTGAAACGATGTAGGAACTGCACTTCTTGCAAAAGTCTTATGTCTTTCCCATTTCGATTGTTATCAGACAAAGCTTCTTCAAGTTTATTACAAACTTTAAATTGCTCTTGCTCAGAACACTTAAATCTTGAATTAATTAATAAATTAAAATCAGCCCCATTAAAATTGAAACACATCCGAGTGAGAGGACAGAAGTTCGAATCTTTCATTTACAGATGAAATTGCAATGTTTAACATTTCATAAAAACAGTTAACTTTAAACTTTAATTCTTCACTTTGTATTGATTCATATTTGTCTTCTTAATCAAATTGTTTTTTATTTTTCGCGGTCTTACAGTTTCCTGATTCTTAAATATTGAAAATAATGGTTTTTTTCGGGTTTTTAGGCCGTCGTTCGGTAGAATTTCTTCTTGACGTTTCGCAAGCACGAGTGGCTTGCATCTTCAGAAGTGGTTTGCTTGAAGG